ACAAGTTGTAGTAGTAGTAGCTATCCCTAGCCTAATATATATTACGCTAAGAGTACTATAGTAGTTCAATTGTATTACTATAGTAGTTCAATTAACAACTTGGTATAATCTCATAACAATCAAACTTAATTCTTCACTACTTACTCTATAATTGTATTACTATAGTAGTTCAATTTACTCAAGCAGCCGGCAACGGGGGCCACATCAAATTGTTTCATGCTTGGTCCCATAAATCCAGACCAAACTTATCTCTAGTTTCTTGGGAGCAGGTTGGTGGAAAAGAGCAAGTTGTTTCAATTTAGGAAGCTTAGGGTTTGACAATTTGGAAAAAGAAAATGATCAAGAAAAAGGGGTCGATTTCATAATGTTCACACTTTGGTGATGTTGAAACTTTGATTTCTTTCTTTACAATGCAAGTTTGAAGAGGTTCCGTTCCACAAGCAAATTAAGAACCAATCAAGTATTTAATTAATATGCTTATAAAATCTATCTTCCTCTAGGTTTCTTGAAAAATTAGGAGAGAAGATAAATTTCCTGCCAAAACTAGAAATGTCATCAATCGAGTCCTTAACGCGTGACATTTCTCAATTAAGTTTTTTTTTTTTTTTTGGGATAAAATATTGTAGTTTCATTCATGACATAAATAAATAAAAAAAACATACATATATATCATCATCTTTGTGACACAATGATAACAAAGACTATTTTAAGACCCAGATGTTCACCCTCAAACCCAAAAACTAAAGAACAAAACCAGAACTTCAAGTGGAAATTCATACTGTCATGTCTTATTACTCAAAAAAAAATATCAACTATCTAAATTTATCAAAAAAACATCAATTCTCTTTTAACCAACAAAAAAAAATCCAAAATTTATCAAAAAAAAAAAAAGCATCCAACTCTTTTAACCAACAAAAAAAAGTTCGTCACAACTCAGCAAATAGACATAAAAATCATATTTCAATGTTTATGAATATTATGCATAAATCAAATTTAAATTGAAACTGTTAATACATTAGAAATAAAATAAAAACAAAAAAAGAAGAAAAAGAAAAACTAGGGAGATGAAGGGATGCCATCAAATAAATGTCATTTTATTGCAGAAAACATGTAGATTAAATAGAAAATATTAAAAATGACCTAAATGAAAAGCATTGAAACATGAGAGACACGGTTGATAACATTTTTCATTTTGGGGTGAAATTGAGAATCGGATTATGATCAGGTGCAAAATCGAGACTTTTCCTACGTAGATTTTTTTTATTATTATTAATTTATTTTAATTTATTTTTTTATGAAAGCAACTGAACAAACCATGGGCTACGCCGTTGGATGCATTTCTTTTACAAAGGTAGCTCGTTTGTCAAAGCTTTGTTGCTGGCACTGTTAGGAGTAATTTACAAAGTTTTAGAAATAAATTAATAAAAGAATGGTTTCCAGTCTCCCATATTCTAATTGATCGGTTAAGATTTATGCTAACGTGCTGTGTTTGTCAGCCTCATGGATCGGTAGTATACTAGTCGGATTTTCACGTTAAACTAAAAATATTTATTTTAATTTAATAATACATACTATGATATTGTTAAATTAAAATATATTTAATTAAAAATAAAAATAAAATTTTATATAATTTTATAGTTTTTAATAAATTTCATAGTTAAAAAAACATGATTTGTTATTTCTTATGTAATTTTTTCTTCAATAAAAAATCATAATAATCTAAATATAAAAGTTTAAAAAATATTTTAATAATTTTTTATATCATTGTATCGAAGAAATAAAGGAATAATTAATATAAAAATTTGTATAAAAAATAACAAATTAATCTTTTTTCTTAGATATATAGTTAATTTTTAATAAAATTAATGACCTTAATTTTTTTATACACCATGACCATACCAGTGGATCATGATGTGCAACATAAATTGAATTTTTTTAAAAAAAAATTAAATTATAAAAAATACATTAAAGTTAATAGAATGCAATAAAACAATTACAAAATTAATTTCGATAAAAGTTGATTATATAAAGAATAAAAAAATAAAAATAATAAAGAAAAAACTTATTCAAAAATCCATATATAAAGAAAATGAATCATACTTATTAATATATAAAATTATACAAAAAATATTTTAGAAAAAATTAGAAACCAAAGTATAATATATGTCAAAACTTGCATATCAAATACCTAAACATAGGTTTGAAAATTCCAAAAATATCATATTTAATATCTAAATAAAGCTTAAAAATTACAATAATGTTATTTAATAGAAGAATATTAAATAAATAGTATTTATGAGTATAGATAATTAGTAAATAAATATTAAAACGAGTGTGAATAAATAATAAATAAATAGTAATCACTTCAAATATTGTAGGTTTTGTTACAATAATATATTCAATATTTCCTTTGTAGATTAATTTTGCAACGGAAATGGCCTTAGATTTGAGCGTTGCTCTTTTGAATTTTATTGTCGAGAGAGCGAGAGAAACAGAAAAAAGTGATTTTGCGAATATTGAATTTTAAATTCCTGTAGAATTTATGGATTTTGAGTGTTAACAATTGCCTGAATTTGTTTGTGTGTGCACAGCGTAATGACACTACTAGCTTAGGTATTAAAAAAAATGAACAATACCGCCAACTTTATGTCCATTTCTTTATTTTTCTGTGATGCGATTTAGATACTGACAGGATGGCGGACCCTTTGAAAAATGTGGTAAAATATGAATCACCGCATGCCCCTCTGTTATCACTTATCCCTTATCCGAAGACATCATGTGAGATTATGGCTTGAATCAGAGAAAAGCCACGCTATCATTCTTTAGTATTGATTATTGGTAAAATATAAATATGGTTTTCGAGGGAGAATCTTGAAATACCAGCACAAGTTTGAAGCAGAAATTTTCAAGATCAGCTGCCTAATTTGGTCTTTTCCCCTAATTTGGTTCCTAGGATTGTTGATGTTGCAATTGCATAACCTACCATTCTCCCCTTTGGTCCTCCCAGTTAACATTAAATCAAGTCAAAGATCAAGAAATACGAGGGAAAGGAATGTGAAACCACCTTTGCCTGCTATGTAGGGCACTGAAAACTTACTCTCTTGGCAGTGGATGCTAACTGTCACCAAATGCATCACTTCTTTGAAACAACTGTGAGATTTTTGTGCTAAACCAATCAGACTTTTATGGTTTTTTTTTTTTTTTTTTCAAAGTGACAAAAGAAAAGAACATGAAAAGAGAGGTCTAGAATGGCCTAATCGTCCAAATTGGCTTTCACAAATCAAAGCACCTTGCAAAGATCTTGAGGATGGTGGCAACTATAATTATGGTGATGGATGGGCAACGAAAGAAGTATTGCCAATCATCAACGTCTTCACGAAGTACTCGTAAGGATTTTTGATGCAGACATTATCCGTAATTTGAAGGGTATGGTAGGCCATGGTAAGCAACTGGCATGGCGTCCTTTGCATGGTAAGGACAGTGCACCCAATCAAAGGTTCAAGAAGGTATCGGCAACATGTGGTTTTTATTTGAAAATAATAGGCTACTTCGATGAGCTGGTTGGTAGAAAAAACATCAAAAACACCCCCCAGTGTTTGTATGAATTAGTCAAATTCATCTCCATGAAAAAGATTTAATCAAAATTTAGTCAATTCAATTCAACTGGACTACATTACATTGAATTGTAAGATGAGTAGCTGTTCAAAGTTTTGAAATGCTTAAGAAATACAAATAATAATTTTTTATTTAACAAGTTTGAAAATTTTACTTTTTTTATTTTCTTAAAATTTTATTAATCATTTTTTTTTCTGAAAAATTTTTAAATTTTATTTTTTGGAAACTTATATTTTTTTTTATTTCTTAAATATTTTTCATTTATAATTTCTATAACTTATTAAACATTTTCAAACATTGTAATGGTTGAGATCATGTAAAAAAAAATTGTCTAAGTATTTTGATTTTTTTTATTCCTTATAAATCTTCAAAATTTATTTTTTTTCAAAACATATATTTATTTAAATATTTTTTATTTTTAAAAAATGATAAAGAGAAAATAGAACAGTACTCAGTCATTAAAATTAAAATTAAAATTTTTTAAATGGTTAATAAATATTTTAGAAAAAAAATTAACAAATTTTGAATAAAAAAACTTATTTTTTTGTTTCTTAACAATTTCCAAAAAAATTGTTAATCGTCTTAAAATTTAATGCAATATAATCAAAATGTCCAATTGAGTTGAATTAACTAAATTTTGCAAATACATGGTAAATTTTAACTTAAATCTTTTTTATGTGTATGAATTTGACTAATTCATATAAACACAAGGATGTTTTCGATGGTTTTTCCAAAAAAAAAAAAAAACTTTAAATTGTGTGCTGTAGTAAGCTTCGATGTGCTCGTTAGTGGAAAAGTTCAGTGCATGTGTGTGTGAATTTGCCAACAAAACTTTAAGTAAAATTAAAATGGTAAAGTTTTCTCAAAGAAAATAATAGTAATAAAATGGTCAGGTTATTTATAATGGATATCTGGCATATGGCATTGAGGAGAAAAGCTATTTCTTAAGATATTTTTATTTAAAATCGAAGAAGTATCAATTTAGATTTTTATTTTTTATTTTTCTTTGTCACCACCTAACATCCACTCTTTATATATATATATATATATATATATAGCCCAATGAGAAATTTGCTTTCTATTGAGAATGTCCAATATTAGCTGAAAAGTGATCCATGGATGGTCATAATATGGTCCAATTCCAGCTCATTAGGGACCTAGGTCTGAGCCCAAAATACAAAAAGTTCTCAAATCAGCCCATTTGAATTTGAATTCGAAACGACAATATATAAGAGAATATGACCCTGGTAGTAAAAGATTTCTGATATTTATTATAGAACTACCATATAATAATGAAAGATAATAATATGACCCTAGTAGGATAAAGTCATTATTCTAGTAAAATCACTTGCTGCATTGTAATAAGAAATTGGTAGCCCTGACAATTATGATTTATGCAAACGAAGAAGGGAAACAATGCCTTCTGCAACAAGCCCAAGAACTGCCAAATCATGATTTCTGAACCACAAAGGTGAAATTTCTGGTGCTTGGAAATAAAATTCCTGTTCACAACTCGTACCCAATGCTCCTCCAATATGTGCTGAATACTGTGCTTCACGATAAGACTTAGTACCGAGTTGCTGAACAGCTTTGCAAAAATAATCTTTGATAGCACTCTCATAAGCCATGACACACCTTCTTAGAGCTTCCTCAGTTTTTCCATCTTTTGTGTACTTCTCTTGCAACCTAGGGATTTCTCCAAGAGTCTCTGTGGCATTTGCTATGCAGAGATCGAGAATGATGTAGGCTAGCTCTTTCACATTGGTTGCTTTAATGGCGCGACGGTCTGATCTGAGAATTGTCACACATTCTTCATATCCTACAATTATTGCGCAGGATTTCTCTATTAGGTCAGGTTCTTTCTCTTGCACAGTTGCACGACATTGGCTTGTTGAGAAGAGTAGTAGTAGAAGGGTGAGAAATAAAGAAGGGGCCATTTTGCTAATGTGAGTTTGGTTTGGTATGAAATGCCTCGATATCTAATGTTTATGTATTTCTAGATTGGCTCTGCGACTTTACACACCACAAACAAATATGGTTGTATGGGCCATGGATCACAACCAACCACGTGTAGAGCTTTTAATTTTACATTAATTTTCCACCTTTTGATTCACTGTTGTGCAAACCCGATGCAAGGTCGGCATGTACTTTCTACTTGCACACAACGTCTTTTCCTCTAAGCTAAATCAAGCCTGTTATATATAAATATTTTTTTCTGTTAATTACCTTGCTTAATTTAGGTAGCCCTAGTACACCACTTCACCCCCTCATGTTTTCTGTTCTCAAAATTCCTACTGTCTAGTTCTGAAGAGAGCTGCCTCTTCTTCTTCTTCTTCTTTTTAATTATTATTATTATTATTTTTTTTTTTTTGGTAGAGAGAGAGCATTAGTGAATAAGTAGAATGCTATTGCCTTTCATGATACGACAGAGATTATGACTGCTGAAAATATGACAGATTTTTCGGCGTGCTTTAATGGTATGCTCTTGGTCTAACACACGAGAAATTTATTCACTGTTTTTGGCAGATAGAACCGACCATACAGATGATCCAATCGTTTAAATATTGAACAAGCACTCGTACCAATCACTATTAAAGGAGTATCAACCAAGTCCCCAATTGAACATCTGGTTTGGAGGCCACATTTAAAATCATGTGATGAACAGGTGGAAAATTTTTGAAGAGTTAGGACTTAGGAGAGGTTTAGCCCTTGTACTGTCAAAACTCAAAAAGTTCCATTTCGTCTCGAGTCCAAATAATAATAATTAAAAAAAAAAAAAAGTATAGCCATCCATTAAGAAGCTTCACGTATGCTCAGGTTCCCATGCCTGCTGTAGTATTGACTCTCTCTTTGAGGTGACAAACCTTATAGAGCTTCATCAACCAACTCAAACATACAGGACAAAAATATATGTGCAAAATAATCATGTCAGAAAATAAGAATTTTATTCATTGATAGCTAGCGTGAAACTATTGCAATTGAGGAAAAAAAAAAAAAAAGAAGAGAAGCTTGATGATGGCCTGAGCTATTAGCAACAGGTTTATTATGCCAATATTCTCGTCTGTTAAAGGTATAAGGGTCCAAAAGTTAAAAACTCCTTTTAACAGAGATCTCTCCAAAGCTTCTTGAATGGCTGCAGTGGCTACTTCATTGTGTGAACCTGAAGTCCGGTTTTGTTTCAACTGGATACAAATTACGAAACTAAACCTATCCAAGTTATCCCCACATTCCAAAAATCTCAAAGTTTCCAAAAATAGTTTGCAGTATATTTACTTTGTCCAACAATGTCACGGGTGAATATTTATTAGTCTAGTCACTGAAAAACCAATGGGGAAATGTAGTTCATAATGGTGAAGAAAATGACCATCGGGTGACCATTAAAACGTGATCCATCTCATATTCTCATGTTGGTGGTTGCCATGTCCCTGGCTTGAAGGTTGAACCAGACCCAGTTGGTTCTGAATGCCTATAAAAAAAATATTTAAGCAAGGTATGAGCATTACCGTGGTGGCAATCACTTGAAAGAAAGAATCATGAAAGCTATGGAAATTTAACACATTGTATACTACTGACAGTCACTTGTGTATGTTAAACATGGTAAACACATTTCACAGGCGGTTAATTTTGGCACCTTACCATATTTCACGGATGCAACCTTCAACAAATAGTCAGTCACGATCAAGTTAACCTAAGATCTATATGACTATTATATTGATGTGCATTACATATATGCCTACTTACTCTGACAAAGGTTCTGCTGCTTTCTGTGACCCTGCTTCTCCTTTTCTGCAAAATTTAATAACTGATGTTATGGCATGAAAAAAACCAGCTCCACTTGCAAGTGCGTAATTGCCAGTAAAATTAATCAAATTGCTAGAAATATTTAAAGGCCCAGTACAAAGAAGCTTCAAATTACAAGAAATAATGATAGCGTACAAGCTTGAATGATTTATCAGGAGCGCAGTAAGTTCTCACGATTAAATAAAACAATATAAGCTCAGGTGATCAGAAACCAACACACATTCATGCACCCACCAGACCTTGGAGCAGACCCAAGAGGGGAACATAATTGGTTGAAGGAGCTAAAGCATCAAATTGACTTGACAAGTGGTGGCTAAGAAAAAGAATCATAGCCAACACAGGACCATTAACATGAGAAAAAGTTGTATTTTTACTAGCAACATGATGTGTGACCTCTGACCTCACAATCAAGGTAAGCAGTAAAATGAAATTATCTCAAAAGCCAACGACAACTTTTAACTGACCCACCTTCCTCTATCCACTGCATCTGATTCTTCCTTAAGCTTGTTACCTTTGAGAAGAAGCACCATAATGCCAAATCATGGTTAGCACAGAAGTCAGCAGAGTAAAAAAGTATGCGCGTGAACACGCCCATTATATTCAAAGTCAGTGGGAATGACATAGCAAAACCTTCGGCAAATCCTCCAGATGCAATGACATGTTTTGCCACCAAGAAATACAATCCTCCATTAATATTTCAGTGAAAGAATTTAATACCTTCAGAAACAGTAGGAAATTGGCCAATGAAACTTTTCAAGTCTGGACCTCCAGTTTTACCTGTACAAAATGGTGGATGAATATCAACAATTACATAATCATGATGATGCTGTTTCAAAAAATAGAGTCTGCCTTTAGCAACTTACCAGTGCTCATGGCTTTGCGAGAACTGCCTTCTTTGGCTCTCCTTTCCTCTTCTTCTTGCTTAAGAACTTTGCAGTCAAAAACAAACATTTATTAAGATCCTTCACAAAGCTAACAAAGTTATGTGAAGTGGTGCAGAAAATGAAAAGGTATCTCAAAAAACGAAGAAAGAAGCAAAAATCGTTGTGTCAAATTATGTAGAAGACAGAAAGTAAAGAAACAAGGAACGATGTGAAAGTCAAGGGTCTTCAACAAACCATTTATGAAACATATAGATATACAATGCCACGAAGAGACTACATTCAACAAACAAGTATTTCCTATGTAGTTAAAATTACTGGTTAATGTAATGATTTGAGGGCTGGTTTATGTTTGCTTGGGCTGTTAAGAGCAGTATAGGGACTGTGGTAGTGTAGCTGCAGAAGTTGGAGACGATAAGCGATATTATAGGCACCAAGCCAGCAATAAAAACACCATTAATATTATTACCCAGAAAATAGTAGTGTCATGAAGAAACAGAAATATCCATATAATTGTACAAGTGACTTACGAGCAACATTTTGCTTCACAAGTTCACGCCTTGCCTCCAACTCAATCAGTTCCTAAAGAAAATCCAGTATATTTAAAGAAAAATAACACAATTCCAACATTGTAGCTCACTAAAATGAAAAAAAGTAACAATTAAACACTTATTCCTTCCATGTGTCTTTTCAAAACTGTATCATCCATCCACAAAAATAGATATTCAAATGGTGCATGTTACTCGCCATTGTTAACTTGTCTAGAGAGAGACCAAGAAAGGCATGATGAAGTCAATTCAGCCTCTAAAAGAGTACTCTCAGTTTTTCATCAAGTTACTTAAGGGTGGAAAGAAGATGCCTTGCATTTATTTGAGAACCATTTGAACTATCCACTTTTAAAATCGATCGAAGAAGACCAAAATTCATTCTATGGAAAACATCTTTAATATCCGAAAACACCTCTTGGTACTGCACAAAAACAATAGAATGTTCCTGAAAGAATGTATTCTAAGTCCAAACCATGCTTGGAGTTTCTAATGTTTTATTTTTATTTTTTTAAAAAGAGAGATTCACCGGGAGGACCATTAGGACGGTACTACCCCAAATGAGAGTAGGATGCAATTCCAAGTAACTTAGGATGATACCAAGAGATGTGGCATGATGAACACATCATTCAAACATTTTATAATATCATTCATTGAGTTGTCAAGAGGTGAGGAAGTGCAACAAACCCAAACAATAATTTTCTTGATATAAAAAATTCCAAATTTAATGTCTAACACAAAAACCGTAAATCACACACACATACTCTTAAATATATTTCAGCTGGAGAGGACTTTTTCTTCTTGCTCCCATTTTTCTTTATGGCATATTTGAAGGGAAAAAGTAAAAGTCTCTAATATACCTCAGGAGTTGGAGCCCTTCTACGCTGTCCGTTCAGCCAGCATATCCATTCAACTACAATAGCCACATTATAGACAAACATTCAGTGTAGAGAATAAAACATGTAGAAGAACAAAGTTTAACAGCCAAGTCCTTTCAACATATGTACAAATTGAAATAAGATCTATTTTAAAAATCATGTCTGGACTTGACAGCTGATTAGAGAAACCCAATCAATAAGAAAAGGTTCATTGATGACTAATGATCGTCAAAAACTTAGTGCATAATGTTGTGGTAGGGCATAACGGAATGCGATATTGTAACAGAGAGGGGAGATTTTCCAAGCCTTCCAATTTTGTACCTGGAATTGAGGTTGGATCCTCCTCCCCTTTGAATACTACCCATCTTTTCTCTTTCACTGCAACATCGACAAATGTGCAAACTGATAAAAAGTGCAAAGGAAATAAAAAAGAAACAGCAAATTTACAGGAAAGAGAGAGACCCACTTACTGATACCATCATTCTGTTCTGTTCTGGCGAAGTAACGGTTCCCTACTTTGTCTACACCCATCAAAGTTCGGTTGGTCAAGTACCCAGCAATCCGTACCAACAGCTTTGACATCTCTTGCTTTCCTTTTACTACTCTTTTCTTCTTTTACTTGTCATTAGATACCCCACCTGAACCATGATAAACTTCAAATTTCAAACTGTTTGGATGAAAGGCAATACCTAACAACCAAAGTTTGCTACCATTCGGCCTCGTATGATTCTAATGTTTGTAATTGTACATAAAAAAGAAAAAAAAACACGCACACAAACCCAAATGAGTATGTATCAAAATAAAATGGAGGTCACAGTGAAATGATACAGAAAAAGGGGCGTGAAGGAAAATAAGACAGCAGAAATGAGAGAGAGAAGTAGAGAAATTACCGGTAGAAACAGAAGAAAACTGCAAAAGAAAGCAGCCTGAGTTTAGGGTTTAAACTTAAGCTATTGGTTGAGATTTTTGAGCATTTGTCGTAGACGGTAAAGAGCTAAATTGTGAACTGTAAATAGGTTTTGAAGCGAGGAGTTGTGTGTGAGAAGAAGGAACGGTCCAGGAAACGACCGAAGGTGGAGTAGATTCTATAATATAATGTTTGTATGTATAAACAGTTACTGATGCATATACAAAATTTTCCATTTAAGGCTGTGTTTGTCCCCATTTTTCAGTGTCTATTTTGCGTTTAGAAAAAAATCAATTGAAAAAAATAAAAAATATATTTTAACAATTTTTTCTTTATTTTCTTTTTATTTAAAACATATCAAATTAATTTTTAATTATCTCTTATCAATTATTATTAATTATTTAATTATTTTTTCTTTTTTTCTACTTGATATTTGATTTTTTAATTTATAGATATATTAAAAATTCTTAAAAATCATTTTTACACCTTAAAATTGTTTTTATAATAAATATTTCAATAATTTATTTCTATTTTTTTATTATTATCTCAAACATCACCTAAATTATACTTAAATGACTCGAAAATGATTATTACAAGAATAAGACTGTAATTTTTTGTAAAAAATTTAAAATTAATTAATTCATTAGTAAATACATTATTTTTCCAACACTATTCATTTGTAACTAAATCAATAATTTATAATTTTAATTAGTTATAAATTTTTATTGGTAATTATAGTGAATAATTGATTATAAATTATTTCAACATTAATCTTTTGAAACCAAATGAATAATTATTTACAAATAATAACTAATAATTTATAAAACTATTGTTTAGACTAAATTATCGGTTCAATTTCAAAAAGAAAAAAAGACGAGAATACCAACTTTCACCGCATAAATATCTTCAAACAAGTTACAAAAAATCATAGTGCCTTATTAATTTACATTCATTGCATTTTGAATGTAGTTAACAACGATAATATTCTCGACCTAATAGGTCCTAGGTTGGGGGTGTTATAGACATAGTAGCAGAGCGAGGTTTCTCAACCACATCCAATATACGTGGACGGTGACCTTTGGTAATCGGTAAGTATGTTTGATGAATGATGGTTATGATTGTTTTTTGTATATGTTTTGAATAAAAATGATGTGATGTTATTTTAGAAAATAAAGTTATAATGTGATATGGAAGACTTAATGAATATTATGTGCATGTGAACTTAAAAGAAGAGAATACCGTGCCGCCAAAGTGAAGTAATAATAATACTAGTAATAATCCGAGGTCAAGCCGAGTGTCGGATGACCGAGAAGGAGAATTGATGGAGCTCGCTAGGAGGCGAGCGGGAGATGATGGAATGGCAACAAGAGAGGCATGATGAACAAATGTAAAGGATTTTGGAATTAACTCGACGAGGTCCAACCGAAGCTCACCAACCACGAAGGACCGACATCGTCGAGCGAGCGATTCCAAAGGTTCAAGCTAAAGGAATTCGGGGGTGGACCAAATCCTAATGTAGTGGAAGAATGGATCAAGTCCGTGGAAGTTATTTTCGAATATCCGGATATGAGTGATGTGGATCGAGTAGTGTACGTCACCTTCATGTTGACTACTAATGTATGTAACTAGTGGGAAACTATAAAAGCATCATTAGAAGATGAGGGGCTCACGTGGAATCCATTCAAAGACTCGTTTAATGAAAAGTATTTTTCGATACGATGAGGTCCCACAAAATCTAAGAGTTCCTCCAACTTAGGCAAGGAGACATATTAGTTACGGAGTATGTTCATAAATTTGAACATGGTTGTTGTTATGCCACATTCATTGCCGAAAGCGAGGAAAGAAAGAAGAAGCACTTCCTTCATGGCCTAAGAGCCAAGATATAAGTTTTTTCGGATGTCGGCCGACACTTTTAAGGACATGGTATGAAAGGCACTTGGAGTCGAAATGGACCGGAAAGAGACCACTCGAGCACCACCATCGAGTATGAGAAGGGGAGGAATTCCTCCGAACAGGTTCAAGAAACATTTTAGTAGGAAAAGGCTTTTCAACCCAAACTAGAGGAAGGACGATAAGAAAGGTAAGACACGACTAAGTTTCAAAGGACGAGAGGATCGTGGTACCTCGAAATGTCCAAAGTGCGGACGTCCACATACGAGAGCTCGCTTGATGGAAATAAATGTATGATATTTCTATCAAGAGGATGGACACTTAGCGAATAATTATCCGAAGAGAAAGCCAACCAAGGAACAACGGGTACTGGACATGTGTGTACCTTGACTCGAAGGAACCGAATAAGGACAATGTTAATATTATATGTGGTAATGTTTCGATTCTTAACTACACTACATATGAATTGATAGATTCGAGTGCCACGCATTCATTCGTTGCACGTTCATTGATGAGACAACTAGGCATGGTCCCGAAATATTAGACATGACTTATGAGGTGGCACTCCCATTCGGAGAGTCACTTAGAATCTAATGCTATGATTAGGGGATGTGAAATAAAAATTAGAGACTTTACTTTACACGTTGACTTTATAGTCTTGAGCCTTCGAGATTTTAATGTTATTCTTGGCATGGACTTTTTATTCAAGAATAGAACATTAATTGATTGTATGGGTAAAAAGGTGATATTTCACCGATCGGACGAGCAACCTATTGAGTTACATGTAGGAACCCGAATGAGACATGTAATTATGATATCGGCCATGACGGCTTAGAAACTTATAAAGGGAGGATGTAAAGGTTATTTAGTGAATATGGTTGATATTAAAAAGGAAGAAAGTCCAAAGTTAGAAGATATTGAGGTAGTCAAAGAATTCCCGGATACGAGAGCTGCTAGACAAAGGTTATATTCGACTTAACTATTCACAGTGAGGAGCCCAATCTTGTTTGTGAAAAAAAAGATGGGTCATTACGGTTATGTATTGACTATAGAGATTTGAACCGAGTGATTGTTAAGAATAAATATTCACTCTTGCGAATTGATGATTTATTTGATAAATTAAGGGGAAGTTCGAGTCTTCTCAAAAATTGACCTCCAATCGGGATATCACTAGTTGAGAATTAAAGAAAAAATATGTAAAGAAAATGACATTTAAAAGTTAATATGGGCATTATGAATATTTGGTAATGCCATTCGGGTTAACCAATGCTCCCGTTGTGTTTATGGATTTAAAGAATAAAGTATTCTATGAATACTTGGATAAGTTCATTATCGTGTTTATCGACGATATATTGATATATTCTAAGAGTCATGAAGAGCATAAAGAGCATTTAAGAAAGGCATTATAGACAACTGTGAGAGCATAAATTGTACACTAAACTTTAAAAGTATGCATTTTGGCTCGAACAAGTGGCGTTCCCTAGTCATGTTATGACTAAGGATGTGATTATGGTAGATCCCAACAACGTGCAAGCGAGTGTAGGAGTGGAAGTAGTCGAAGAATATTTCGAAAGTACGAAGCTTCCTCGGGATGACGAGCTATTATCGAAAATTTATAGAGGGATTTTCGAAGATAGTTGCCCCACTCACCGGATTAATGAGGAAGAATGCTAAGTTCGAGTCGGATGATCAATGTGAACAAAGCTTCCGGGAGATAAAATTTAGGCTCACTACTAACTCCGGTAGTAGCTCTTCCTAAAGATAACAAGAACTTCGTAGTTTATATTGATGCCTCTCGGATTCGTTTGGGAGCAATCTTGATGCAAGATGGAAGGGTAATTGCTCGTGCATCTCGATAATTAAAAGGCTATGAAAGGAATTATCCCACGCATTATCTTAAATTAGATGCGGTAATCTTTGCCTTGAAGATCTAAAGGCACTACTTATATGGTGTTCGATGTAACATCTACATCGATCATAAGAGCCTCATATACATCTTTACTAAAAAAAAACTAAACATGAGGCAAAGAAGATGGCTGGAAGTGCTTAATGATCACGACATTGTTTTTCACTATCATCTCGAAAAAGCAAATGTCATGGCCGATGCCTTAAGCCAAAAGTGTATTGCGGCTTTACAAACACAAATTATGCGAGACTTGGAAAAGCTTCAACTATAAGTAATTCCAAGTCAAACTCAAAAGAAATTGTTAGGTGCACTCACCCTACAACCGGACATAAAACGAAGAATTAAAGAAGGGCAACAACGAGATTCAAAAATTTTTAAAATTCAACGAGAAGGTAGTAGAGGGAAAAACAATGAATGTTACCTTAGATAATGACAACGTTTGGCATTATCGAGGTAGATTATGTGTTTCGATGAGAAGAAAATGAAAGAGGAGATTTTAAAAGAGACCCATACCATGCCCTACACTATACACCACTAGAGGCACAAAGATGTATCGGGACCTCAACCTATTGGTGGAAAGAGATGAAACGAGATGTCGTTAATTATGTGGCAAGGTGTTTAACGTGTCAATAAGTTAAGATCGAACACCAAAGGCCATTAGGATTATGACGGTTGTTGGACATCCTAGAGTAGAAATGAAAACATATATCAATGGATTTCATATTGGGATTGCCTAGGTCGAACGTGGAGTAAATGGTATATGGGGCATAACGGATCGATTAATGAAATCAACCCATATTTTAGCACTCAAAATAACTTATTTCATGTAGCAATATGCAGAATTATCTTTTTAAAAAATAGTAAGAATACATGGGATTC